AATTTTCCAAGGCTGAGAGCTGCTCTCCAAGACTTGGACTGGGAGGGAATATTGGCATCGATGAACACAACACAGAAATGGGAGTTCTTCAAAAAGACTGTATGTGAACACTCTGCAAAATATATTCCCATGGGCAACAAGTTTAAAAGGCTAAAAATCAAATCTATGTGGCTTATGGCCAAAGTTAAAAAAGCTATAAATAATAAGAAAAGAGCTTTTATTAAATATACAAATGAAGGACCGCTATCATTGTTTAAACATTACAAAGAATATAACAGAATATGTTAAAAGGAAATCAAGGCAGCAAAAATTGAAAATGAATGACAGATTGAAAAAGATAGCAGGACCAACCCCAAAAAATTCTTCAAATATATTAATAGTAAAATGGTCTGGTCAGAGCATGTAGGCCCTTTACAAAATAATCTAGAGTGGGTGACTGGGGACAAAGAGAAGGCAAATTTATTCAATACCTTCTTCAGCTCTGTGTATACAAAGGAGCATGGAGGAGCTCTTGTCCATAATGGGCATGGTAGTGACACAGCCCCAGAACATATTTGCTCACATTGATATGATCCAGAAATATTTAGACAGAATAAAGGTGAATAAAGCACATGGACTGGATGGCATACACCCACGGGTCCGTAAAGTATTGAGTTCTGTCATTTCAAAGCCCTTGTTGCTAATTTTTAGGGACTCTTTAATGACTGACTAGTACCACTGGACTAGCATAAAGCCAATGTGGTGCCTATATTTAAAAGAGATCAAAATCTTTACCAAGTAATTATAGACCTGTTAGTTTAACTTCTATAGTTGGAAATATACTGTAGGGTTTAATAAAAAAATATTTTAAGCAACAGACAGCATGGATTCATGAAAGACAGAAGTTGTCAAACAAATCTGATTTCTTTTTATGAGGAGGTGGGCAAAACCTTGGACAGAGGGGTGGCAGTGGACATGGTATACTTGGATTTTGCTTTGAAACAGTGTTTGAAACAGTTCCCCACACATGGCTAATGTGTAAGGTAAAGTCTATGGGCTTGGAAAAATCTGTATGTAAATGGATGGAAAACTGGCTAAAAGATCGTATTCAGAGAGTAGTGGTTAATGATTCATACTCTGAATGGTCTAGGGTTGTCAGTGGTGTACCCCAAGGTTCAGTGTTGGGACCCTTACTTTTTCATATATTTATAAACGATATAGGGTCTGGGATTAAAAATACCATTGCAGTCTTTGCAGATGACACCAAGCTGTGCAGTGGAATAACGTCATTACTGGATGTCTCCAACTTACAAACCGACCTCAATGCACTGTTTAATTGGGCAACTATGTGGCTAATGAGGTTTAATGTTGATAAATGAAAGGTTATGCAGTTGGGGGCTAAGAATATGCATGCATCATACATACTGGGGGGGGGGGGGGGGGGGGTACAATTGGGGGAATCAATGGCATGTAATACCAAGTTGCGGTTTCAAAAGCGAGCGAAATCCTCTCTTGCATTAAAAGAGGCATAGACTCCAGAGAGAGAGATATCATTCTACCCCTGTACAAATCATTAGTAAGACCTCATTTGTAATATGCAGTTCAGTTTTGGGCACCAATTCACAAAAAGAACATTGGGGAACTGGAAAAAGTACAGAGAAGGGCAACCAAACTGATTAGAGGCATGGAGGAGATCAGCTATGAGGAAAGATTAGTGGAACTGAATTTATTCTCTCTTGAGAAGAGGAGATTAAGGGAGGATATGATCAACATGTATAAATACATCAGTGGTTCATATAGTGAACTCGGTGTAGAGCTATTCACCCTGAGGTCATCACACAGGACAAGGGGGCACTCTTTACATCTGGAGGAAAAGAGATTTAATCTCCAAATACGGAAAGGTTTCTTCACAGTAAGAGCTGTGAAAATGTGAAATAGACTCCTTCAAGAGTTGGTTCTGGCCAGCTCAGTGGATTGCTTTAGAAACGGCCTGGATTCTTTCCTAGATACACATAATATAACTGGATATTAACATTTATAGGTAAAGTTGATCCAGGGAATATCTGATTGCCTCTCGGGGGATCAGGAAGGAATCTTTTCACCTGCAGCAGCAAATTGGATCATGCTTTGCTGGGTTTTTTGCCTTCCTCTGGATCACTTGTGGGTATAAGATTATAACTTCTTTTTTTTTTTGGTTGAACTGGAAAGACTTTTGTCTTTTTTCAGCCAGACTAACTATGTAACTATATAACACGTTGTGGATGATGGAAGTAAAGGAAGAACTGCAATACAAAGGTAACAAAATAGATATCAACAATCTAAACACCTCAAAACAAAGTATCTTCTGTATTAAATTATTAAATTCAACTTGTATTTTTAATCCCATGTTTATTTAGTACACTGCTCAGGTCAGAATGTAGAGCATGTCACAGGATCAGAACGAGGCATTGTATAAATGTAGCTGACACCTATCACTATAGGGCTGATTCATAAAGCAGCAGTATGGCCTAAAAAAACCAAAACAACAACAAAACAAACCTCACATTTATAAACATTATTACACACTGCTTTAATTGCTGTGAGGATCTAAGGCTAGGTTTTGTTCTTGGATGTAACTTGCATATTCTAAGGGGCCAGAATCATGATTCGCAGGACACAGGACCTGTTACCAAAATCATGCTGCGCTGCATTGATGTGAATAGGCATCATTGAAAACAATGTGATTTCCATTGTTATGTGATTATGTGCGACGTTTGAAATCGCACTAGGGTAAACCAGTAGAGGTCTATTCACACTTGTGCTGTTATGTCACGCTTGTGTGTTAATGCATTGTACCATAGAGTGCAACGCACTGAAGCACTGTGATGCTTTGTATTGCTAAAAAGGGTGATTTACATTTTTTGGTCCATTGTGGCAACCCATTCACGATGAATAGATGGACTGGGTCAATGCAACAAATGTTTACATGCAACTTAATGTAAGGGATTGCTAAAGTGTTAATCAGCCATTAAGCAAGCATACCCAATTCATTTTAATAAATGTGAGGGGGGGGGAGTATTGGGAGAAGATGTAAGGCTGTAACCTGACGTTGACAGTCCACATGACTCAGCTCTTTTCTTATTCTGGATTGTTACTACCTGAACTTGTCAATATGCCTAACATATCAAAAGTGAAAATATGTTGCCGGTCATGGTCAGAATAGTTCACTGTTCACAAATACGTCACTGTCAGAACACATGACTATCAAAACATATAACATGTTACTATGCAAGAATACATCTGCACTTCTTGCAAGGTGAGAATAGGGCACACTATAGAAAAACATTCCAGCTGTCACTGTCAGAGCACATCATGACTAGTGCACCAGAGATAGGTTCATCCAGATCCCCCCCCCCCCCCCCCTTTTAATTATACTTAAAGAAAACATGACACAAATTTTGGAGTAAAATGGGCAACACGGCCTTTTATTAACAAACACGTTTTAACACCAACCATTCCTTATAACAGAAACATACAGAGTTGTTGTTGGTCTTCGAAGGCACCCCCCAAAAATGATCTGAAATGCACCTGCGGACCACCATATTACACAAGGCCTCCAGCCACAACCAACCAGCTCGGCGACAACCATACCGTCCGCAGTGCAGCACCACCACCTTCCAGTTAAACCTTGGTTAACTGGAATGTCCCCGGGCACACCATACCACCGATGGGTCCCACACCATTATCTGTACCTCCAAGATAAGAACCGCCTCCAAAGACCAACAACCGCCACATCACGCTGGGTAAGCCCTTACCCATGCGTGCCCCACCACAAATGGACTGCTCTCTGAACTCTGTCCTGTAAACCCAGAGACCATAAATCCGTTCCAACCGCATTGAGATGCACCCCATCACTCCGCAGATACCGCCAAGTATCTACCTCCAACTCCAAGTGCCGGACCACCAACCCCCCATTACGAATGAAGAAGCGCCCCACCTCCTTGTTGACCTTGATCCAAGCCTTATTGAGCCGCTCCACTGACCGCACCAAATGCCAAGAGGTGCGGGCTACCATGTCCGACCACACCAACACCATCTCCGGATAATCCCTCCATAATAGAAGAAAATCCAGCTTGACATCCCTCACCAGCTCCCGCATGGACCTAACCCCTAGATCGTTGCCCCCCGCATGAAGCACCAGAACATCTGGCGGTTTATCCAGGCAAGCAAAACGCCGCACCTCAGGTACCACATGACCCCACAACATACCCGGCACACCTATCCATCGGACACAAGCCTCTTTCCTAGCCAACCCCAGTTGCCGGCCATTAGGCCTCACATCCACCCGCCTGGCCCCGCAAAAGACGTAGGAGTGCTCCAGGATCCACACCAGGCACACCGCTCCATCTGAAATAAAAGAATAATAACTACCATGAGAACAAAACATCACAGAGACAGGACAACTCCCCCAGCCCATAGACAAAAACCCGGGATCCACCCTTAGTCCCCCAACAGATGCGGATGAACGTACAAACGAAATCTCTGTGAATCCCACCTACCAATACGTTTTACCGCCTCATCCAACAAATGCCACCGGGCGGCCTCAGTAGCAGCCCCTATCCGAAATGAGTGTGAAGCATACAAAGACGCATCCAAACCAACAACTGTTAAACATCTTCGAAAAACCGACACAAATTGAAAGCGAGTTAATGGGGACCTATCTGCATGCATAAAAAAGGACCCCTGCCCCACCGGTAGATGGGACAAAAATTCTTGAACCGCACGCACCGGGCACACCAGTGATGCTGGAAGGGCAAAAAACCGCATCCGCGCACCACGACCCAATTGGTCCGTCTCAGACCGACGGACGAACACCTCAATAGAGCTCACGACATCATCCACCAACAACCCCCCCAAGAACTGATTTGGACGAACTAACGATCTCCCCAAAACGCAATGCCCCAAAGAAGGCCACCCGCAAAGGCCGCCCGAAAAAAGCACACTTCAAAGTCCGAAGAACAAACAGACCGCAGATGCACAAACAGACCCTAACAGCTCGACAGACACCGGACGACGGGAATCCCTACGGCGATGAGCCCTAGGCGGAGCGACAGGTCTCGGGCCCCCAGGTGGAGCGGCGGGCACCGGGCCCCCAGGCAGAGCGGCGGGCGCCGGACCCCCAGGCGGAGCGACAGGTCTCGGGCCCCCAGGTGGAGCGGCGGGCGCCGGACCCCTAGGCGGAGCGACAGGTCTCGGGCCCCCAGGCGGAGCGGCGGGCGCCGGACCCCCAGGCGCAGCGACAGGTCTCGGGCCCCCAGGTGGAGCGGCGGGCGCCGGACCCCCAGGCGGAGCGTCAGGTCTCGGGCCCCCAGGCGGAGCGGCGGGCGCCGGACCCCCAGGCGGAGCGACAGGCACCGGGTCACCAGGCACGACAGTGGGCTCCGAGTCAACTGGCATGACCGCTGGCACTGGGTCAGACAATGGATCGTCTGGCTGGACAGCGGGCATCGGGTCACCAGGCATCAGGTCATTTGGCTCGACAGCGGGCACCGCGTCATCTGGCAAGGCAGTGGGCTCCGAGTCAACTGGCATGACCGCGGGCACTGGGTCAGACATTGGATCGTCTGGCTGGACAGCGGGCATCGGGTCACCAGGCATCAGGTCATTTGGCTCGATAGCGGGCACCGCGTCATCTGGCAAGACAGTGGGCACCAAGTCACCAGGCACGACAGTGGGCTCTGAGTCAATTGGCACGACAGCGGGCACCGGGTCATCAGGTACCGGATTGTCTGGCTCGACAGCGGGCATCGGGTCACCAGGTATGACAGCGGGCACTGGGTCACCAGGCATCAGGTCATTTGGCTTGCCAGCGGGCACCGCGTCATCTGGCAAGGCAGTGGGCACCGGGTCACCAGGCATTGGATCGTCTGGCTCGACAGCTGGCATCGGGTCATCAGGTATGACAGCGGGCACTGGGTCACCAGGCATCAGGTCATTTGGCTCGCCAGCGGGCACCGCGTCATCTGGCAAGGCAGTGGGCACCGAGTCACCAGGTACGACAGCGGGCTCTGAGTCAATTGGCACGACAGCGGGCACCGGATCAGGTACCGGATCATCTGGGATCAACAGCGGGCATCGAGTCAACTGGCCTAATAGGATCATCAGGCTGGATCAGTTCATCATGCTGGGTAGAGGCATCAGGCTGAGTGGAGGCATCAGGCTGAGTGGAGGCATCAGGCTGAGTGGAGGCATCAGGCTGGGTACAGGCATCAGGCTGAGTAGAGGCATCAGGCTGAGTAGAGGCATCAGGCTGAGTAGAGGCATCAGGCTGTAGTACAGGCATCAGGCTGGGTACAGGCATCAGGCTGGGTACAGACCTCAGGCTGAAGTGCGGGTGCCGAGGCACCAGGCTGAACCACGGAAGGCAGGTTCTCAGACGGCAGGCTCACCGGTTTGGATACTGGCAGGATGGTACTGGTTGGAAAGAATTTCCGCTTTTTTCTGGTTTTAACTACTGGAGCACTGCAAGTAAACGCAGGTCTGCAAACGAATGGAGCAGCTGGAGACAGAGAAGAGCTGGAGGATGGAACAGAGGAGGGAGCAGTTGCTACAGAGGGCTTTTTTACAGGGTTTAAAGGCAGGATAGGTGCAGCGAGTGGGAACAGGGTACTGACATGCGGTAGATAGCAGGGCAGGAGGAGCTGTTGGGAATGCAGGAATAGAGCTTTGAGGAAATAGATTAGAAGCAGGACTGGGTTTTTGTAGGCTGACTGAGGCTGGGTGCAACAAATCTGTCCATGTCTGCAGTATGGGTTGAACAAAGCTGAGCTTACACAAAGCCTGTCTGGTCAATGACTGCACTGCGTTTATACAATCTCTTAGTATCTGTGGTGAACATGCAGAATAACGCTCCAGAAAGTAATCCACATCATCCTCTAATAACCATACCAGGGACTCTACCTGGTCGGCACTAAATGGCGGCAAAAATTCATCCCTGCATTCGGGCGTACCAGATGAAACCAACTCCGCACAAATCTGAATCAATGGCTGCACCTCAGAGAATTCTGTGCCCTGATCTACTAGAACATGAGCGAGCCGTATACATTCTAGCAGTTCATCCCGGGGATACTCCTTCAGAGTTTGATAAGCATACTCTCTGTCATCAAACACTAGCAGATATAAATACACAACCTCATCAAGATCCATCCTTCCCATCAACAAACCAAGATGGCTTCCCTGTGCAGCCACTTCTGGTCAGGATTGGCCTTGGTGTAATGTCAGGGCTCCAGGGTGTGACCAGAGGTATGTGACTGACGCAGGGAAACGCAGGCTTCAGATATGTTATAAATATAATTTATTAACACTAACAATACATAAACGCAGTGCAATACTAAAACATAACACAGTGCAAACGAACCTAACCAAACCACCCACAGATAACAGTACATACAATGCAAGCATCGTCAGGCAGGCCGGGATTATCAACAGGAGGTCAGAACGTATGGGGTTAAGCAGGAGAATGGTCAGACAAAGCCAGGGATCAGGAGCAGGAGAATGGTCAGACAAAGCCAGGGATCAGGAGCAGGAGAATGGTCAGACAAAGCCAGGGATCAGGAGCAGGAGAATGGTCAGACAAAGCCAGGGATCAGGAGCAGGAGAATGGTCAGACAAAGCCAGGGATCAGGAGCAGGAGAATGGTCAGACAAAGCCAGGGATCAGGAGCAGGAGAATGGTCAGACAAAGCCAGGGATCAGGAGCAGGAGAATGGTCAGACAAAGCCAGGGATCAGAGCAGGGTCAGCAACGAATCAGACAGGAACAGGAACAGGGAGCAGGAACAGGATACAGGGCCCAGGAGAAACACACACCAAGGCAGAGTCTGCAGGTCTGGCCATCCCTTAAATACATCAGTATAAGCAGTTTCAGGTGTTTGGCTGGCTGCAAGGTTGAGTCTCTTATTGCTGGGAGCACCCGCTGGCCAGCCCTGTTACTGCAGCACATAAGGCAGGTGAGTCCCACCATTGCTGGCCAGTCCATTCCTGACAAGTACAACACTGCCACACACACCTCCGGCCCCCATGGATCAATATCGACCTATTTTAACAGGTCCAGCCACTCCCGCCAGACCGTTGAGTATGCAGACCATGTCGCCTCACTCACCGACCGCCGAATCCAGCCTGCTACGCCCCCAAGGCAATCTCCCACAGCCAGTCGGGACAAGGAACCCCGCGTTGCTCCGCCGCCGGCGCCAACTCTCGGAATTTGTCCCACTGAAAACGAGACAAAGCGTCAGCCAAAGTGTTATCAACCCCAGGGAGATGCACAGCATGGAGAAAAACGTTCAGCTGCAGGCAACGCAACACTAAATGGCAAAGCAAGCCAACCACCGGCCGCGAGGAAGCCGAGACCCGGTTGATGACCTGAACCACCCCCAAATTGTCGCAGTGAAAACGAACCTTCTGATTCCGAAAATTTTTCTCCCCAAACCTCAACCGCCAATACCACCGGAAAAAAGTTCCAACAGCACCAGGTTACGAAGGAAACCCGCCGCCACCCAGGAAGGAGGCCACGGAGCCGCAATCCACCGCCCCCGAAAAAAGGTCCCATATCCCCCAGAAGCCGCCGCATCTGTGAACAATTCCAAGTCAAAATTGCTGACTGGGCCAGACATCCACAGAGCCCGTCCGTTAAACGAATCCAAAAAAGTGTGCCAAATCCGCAAGTCCTCCCGATGCTCCCTAGTCAAACGAATAAAATGTAAAGGGTAGGTAGTCCCTGCCGCCGCCGCCAACCGGCGGCAAAACACCCGACCCATCGGCAAGATGCGACAAGCGAAGTTCAGTTTGCCCAACAACAACTGTAAGGCCCGCAGCTGAATTTTGCGCTTGCCTAGTACCCCACGAATTTCCCCTTGTAGGTCCAACAGCTTGTCCCGAGGCAGCCGGCACTCCATTGCGTCCAAGTCTAAAACGAAGCCCAGGAAAGTCATCACCGAAGCCGGGCCCTCCGTCTTGTCCAAAGCCAGCGGAATCTCGAAACGTTCAGCAACGTGTTGCAAAACTGCGCATACTCTGGAAGCTGGCGGACCCACACAAAGAAAATCATCCAAATAGTGGATGACCGAATTTACCCCTGAAACATCTCGCACCACCCACTCCACGAACGAACTGAACTGCTCAAATAAAGCGCAAGATATAGAACACCTCATGGGAAGGCACTTATCAACGTAAAAAGAGCCCTGCCAATGACAACCCAAGAAATGAAAACTGTCCAGATGTACTGGCAACAATCGAAACGCGGACTCAATATCCGATTTTGCCATAAGCGAACCGCGCCCATAACGATGAACCCAGAAAACCGCAGCATCAAACGACGTGTAAGACACACTGAACAGGACTTTGGATCAATAGAGTCATTCACCGACCCCCCCCCCCCCCTTTTGGGAAAGACAGGTAATGAATTAACCTAAACGAATTTGGCTCCTTCTTGGGCACCACCCCCAAGGGGGAAACTACCAGATCTGAAAACTGAGCGCAAGAAAACAGGCCGCCCATGCGTCCCAACCCCACTTCTTTACGTAACTTAGCCGAAACCACCTCCGCATGCTGCCTGGCCCCCCGAGCTAAGGGGGGGATCGAAGTCAAACTGCACAGCATGCGGAAACCCTCCGAAAACCCTGCCAACAGCAGCACAGAGGCTGCCCGATCAGGATATCTATTTAGGAAAGGCTGCATCCTTTCCACCCTCACCAGTGTTGTCCCTCTTACCCACATGCTCTCCGGGAAGGCCTCTACCCCCGCTTGAAACAGCGCGACAAAGGATGGGAGCCGCCGCAACCAGAACATTCGTGCTTAAAACGGCATGACCCTCCGAAACGACAAGCGCCCTCTTGGAACTGCCAACAGAAACCCCTACGCTTTTAGGCTGATTGTCTTGGGGAGAACGAAGCACTGGCCCCGCCCTGAAAAAATGGACCAGGTGCCCTTGCTGGAGTCATGAGGCACATCCAAAGGCCAATGTCCTTATGGTCCCAATGCAACGAAGGGCGAACAGCCCTCCGCTGCCGAAACTGCTCATCGTACTGGGGCCATGCGGTCCCCCCGTAAACCCTGTGAGCCTCGCTAATGGCGTCAAGGTAACAAAGTGCCGAGCAATGCTCAGGAGCCTTCTCCCCAATGACACTGGCCATGATCGCGAACGCCAGCATCCAATTCCCAAAGGTACGCGGGATAAAGCGAAAACGTCACTTCTCCGCTTCTTCCCACCTGCCCTCGTCAACCCGCGACCCCTCTAAAGGAAAACGCTCCAAGGGCAAGATACAGTTTGGTAGGGAATAGCAAATTTAATTACGTTTAAAGTGATACAATATAAATGCCAATCCATAGCAGAAAAAACATGCATGAAAGAATGCCCCAAAGCTGCCTGTGTAGTTTAGATTGTATAAAATGTACAGCAAAAGTGGAAGATTTACCCCCCTTCCTGACTAGGCTATTTTGTGAGATAAGGCGCTGCGTTACTTTAACTGACAATTGTGCATTCATGCAATGCTGTACATAAATTAAATTTATTTCCTTTTTCCCACAAATAGACCTTTCTTTTGGTGGTATTTGATCACCTCTACAGTTTTACTTTTTGTGTTAAAACAAAAAAAGACCTACAATTTTGAAAAAAAAAAAACAATATTTTTTATTTTCTGCTATAAAACATACCCAAAAAAATGTTAAAGATCTAATTTCTTTATAAATTTAGGCCAAAATGTATTCTGCTACATATTTTTGGTAAAAAATCCCGATAAATGTATATTGATATTGACACATGATCCTTCAATTGCCCACTTGTCAGAACAGAGCTCTGCCTTGTTAACATAGGCAGAGCTCTGTTCTTTCTCCTGGCCAATGATCGGCTGTTGCTAGCGAACATCAGCAGGAATTGCAGATCAGCTTCTGCTTTGAGTGTTCACAGCAGAAGCAAGCAGCCAGCAGTGACTGCACCCCTATGGCAGAAGTGAAAAATCACATATATATACACATGTGGTTTATGCTCAGGAGGGCCACCCTGTAGCAGTAAAACTGCTATAGGGCAGTCTTCAAGAGATGGTTCCATAAACAGCACGCAAATTTTAATACAAACAAGGGTGGCTACAGGCCATCCACCATACCAATGCATTGAAGATGTCCTCTTGATGGCAACCAATCTTACAAACACTGTTAAA